TATATAGCCATAAGAACTTATCTTAGATTTACACTATCCAGTACTGGTTTGTATCTTTCCATATAACCAAGTTATACAGATGCTCCAAGACCTGCCAGTTATGCTAATGCAACTATAGTTACAAGTATTTTATTTCAACTAATTAATATAATACTATTGCTATAATATCATTTATGTACTACATAGATAATAATCCAAATTTTCATTATTAGTAGGGTTTGAATTCACAACCTACTACTTGGAGGTTGACAACTTATTCATTTTACTAAGTCACTACACCCTATTATTATTTTTTTGATTAATATTTATTTTATATTTAAAAATACATGTTTTTTGTACTGCATATTTGTTTTTTTATTTTTTTTTTCTTATTATTATTTTAAACTTATTTTGTATATTATGAACACTTAGTATGTTAATTTATTTTTTTCTTTTAGTAACTAATAATTTTGTAATATTTTAGTATTTTACTTTATATATAGTTATGAGTTAACTATTAAACAAGAAGAAAGATTTTATATTTATTAAAATCAGTTGTTTTAATAATGATCTTTTTGAATTAAATTAGTTTTTTTTAATAATAATGTATTTATATTTAACAAATATGATACAAAAAAATATGAGACTAAGCTGATAATACTACCTAGACCAGAATATGTTGTAAAACTCTAAACTGCTACTAGAAGTTAAATATATAATATTAATTAACTATTCAATTATAGTATAAAATTAAAAATCAATTTGAACTAAAAGCATTATTAAAAACTAAAGTATTGAAAACAAGATAATTGGATTGAAGATTTTTCTGTATTGTGATCTTATATGAAGACTTTTATGTGATTGGCTGTTTAAATTAATTTAATTTTATACTATTTATATAGTTTAAAATACTTTTTAAAATTAATAAAACAGATATAATAACTTAGTAAAATAAATAAATTGTAACTTTCAAGTAGCAGATCTAAGATTTAATTTTCACAAATAATGAATTTTGGTAATTATATTTGTGTTATAATAACTGTCTCTTATTAATTAGTTGAATTTATGTATCTGTAATCTTAGATACACTAGGTTAGAGCCAATCTAATTTTAAAAGTTTGAAGCATTTGTGCAAGATATAACATTATATATATATATAGAGAAATATAAAAAAACTCATGTTGTATAAAGCTTTAGTGCAAACCTGTAATAAAAGCATCAGGTGTAAAAGATTAAGAAATTAAAGAGATAGAAGTTTATTTGAAAATCTTAAATAAAGATATAGCATAAACTTTTAATAATATTGTTGTACTAATGGAAGTCTATAAAACACCTTTATAAGAATTGTCAGATAAACTAAATGACAAAATATATAAAGAAACATATGACCAACCAGGTTGCTGAAATTATTGGATAAAAAGAATACATAAATATACCATACCAGGCCATCTGAATTGAAAGTCTGAAAAGTCTATTAGTTCTAAATTGCAGCTAATAAAGAATGAAGAAAAAAACATCAGAAAGACAGATACTAGAGTTTAGGTAGACTTTACAAGAATAATAGTAGTTTAATGAATAACTCTAACTGCAAGTATTAGCCTCAACATAGAGAAAATTCAGATTAGTAGTAGATAGAAAATATATAGCTTGCTCTGATAGGTTTATCTTGAGGATAAAATTGTTCTAAAGTTGAAATAAGGATCTAGATACAAGTGATCTAGTAAAGTTGGTACAAAGGTTTCAGATTAGAGAGTTTAAATAAAACATCTAAGCAGAGATGTTAAGTATAGCAACTGGCAAGGAACTTCTAAATGGACTTTTTAAATAGATAATATAAAAAGTTATATATATATTCAGTTTATACTCATCATGATGCCTAACAAAAATATTAATAAAGTTAAAAAACTAAAAAGATTATCTTAATACTGAAAAAAAATTTTAATAAAACTATAAAGAATAAACAAAAAAGAATTATATAAAAGTTTTGTCAGAGTTATAGAACTCTATTATTAAAAATAATTAGAATTTTTTTTGTTTTAAAGAAATTAGTATAATAGCAACTTTTTAAAAATAAATAGTATTTGTTTATTACTATGCTAACTACTCTAATATAAAAAGAAAGTTTGATTATTTTTAATAATATAGTTTTACAACTTTGATAAAACTTTTTATATACTTCTTTTTTATTATTTTATAGTTTTGTTATTTTTGAAAAGTAGATTTAGACAACTAATTACACAAAAGTCCTTCTATAAGTTGTAATTAGCTTGTTTAATTTTTAGATAAATGATTAACTAAGAAGAGTAAGTAATATTAATCTAATAATTAACTTTATATAACCTTAGTAGCATAGTGATTTGAATAATTGTCAAGATTATTTATTTATATAACATGTTTCTTATATTGATTCAGATTTGATTGCTTAAGTATATTGGTTGGTTTTAAATAATTGTAAAAATATTTTTTTGATAAATAAAATTGCAAATAGGTAATAAAGAATTAATAAAAATAAAATTTAAGAGATATAGTAAATGCTATCTAGAGTAAATTAAGGTAATTCAAAGAGTAATATGAATATAATTAATAGTATGGTTTTTTGTAATATGATATTATATTTTATTTTAATATTACTTTTGCTTAATATTTTAAACTATTATTTTTATTTTCAACTTGTCAAAGATGTTCAGGTTTGAAAATTTTATTTAAGTATATATTTTACAGAGTTTATACAGAGTATTAGCATAGTATAATTATTATTAATATAATGTATTTGGACTTGTTATTTAATAAATTAAATAAAACATATTACTTCTAAGGATCATTTCAACCTTTATTTATAATACTAAATTTGTTACTCACAAATGCAACTTTATACTTATTATTTATTAAAACTAATTAAAACTATTTACAAGTATTTATTTAATATTCTTAACAATGTTTAATTTCTTTTTATTTTCTTCTTTTATTTTCTATTTACTCCTTTGGATTTGAAATACTGTTTTTAATCATAAATATAACTTATTGCATTTATTGCATTTTGTGCATTTTTTATATAATTGGTTATAATATTCCAGTTTCACAATACCATGTTCTGAAATGCAATTCAAATTATTGCTTCTTTTAGATTTTGTTATGAATTGAGATACCTTTAATCCACCTATAACAATAGCTATCTATTAGGATAAATCTGTTTTCATTTATTACATTTAAATTTATCTAAATATCTAAATAATTAAAAATGTTAACAGCCCAATTTAGTTTGATCTATTATAGTCTTCAATCTCAAGACTTTACTAGTCCAGACTGGCAGAATAGTCCAGTCTTCAGTCTTAAGACCTTACTAATCCAGACTGGTTCAGACTAGTACAGTCTTAAGACTTAGAGCAGACCCATTTTAGGAGTTTATACTGGTCTTAAAACTAATTGTGATCTATTAGTCTAAGACCAAACCATATAATATCCCTACGGATAATCTAACTAACATTCGGATAATTATCTGGATATCAATAATAAAACGGATATCCGAATAAATTCAGTTCTGGATAAGAACTCTAACGGACTTTCATTGTAATTGGCTGATTTTGTAGATAATCCCGTGATATTGCAATAATATTATTGGCTAATCGAAATTATTCGTAAATTAAATTTTGTACTGTACGAAACTATATTCTGATATAATTAATAATTACTACCGTATAAAATCAAATTGGTATTAATAAACGCATTACTACGAACTCTATTACCTCAAAGTCTAAAGTTATCATCCCGATACAAAAAAATCCAAGAGCTTATTTTTTAATTGTACATGATAACAGTTAATTAATGCCAACCGAATTTAATCATATTATAAATTAATGATCTTAAACGTAACAGTATGCTTTAATAATAGACGTAACACTACATTTTAATCTTTATAAAGTTCGTAAGCTCATGTTTTCATCTATTTAGAAAAATAAACATGTTACAGTATAAATAAAATAGATTAGCGTTGTAAACTTTCTGAAAAATGACTTAGATTGCCAAGTTTAATACATTGTAATTTATATTAGTTACCTCCCATCTAACTTCTGAATTACCTCGTCAATTATCAAATTACTTTGGTATGTTGTAAAGCCGAAGGTGTGGTTTCTAAATTTTTATCTTGTAATTCGTATGTGTGGTTGCGAAATCATTTTTGTGCACTCTTGTGATAGTAAATCGGTACTTTAATAAGACTTTATTATGATGAAATGATCTTTAAAAATCAGCCAATCATAATAAGGCCCGCTATGCTGGTGTGATACATGAAATTTGTTATTTGAAAAAAAGCACATAATAAAAAACCAAACCAGAATCAAATCAAACGAATTAATAAACATTATATATGTACTTTAGAATATTTAAACTTGTTTTTTTTTTGGTTTAAAATATAATAAAAATATTTATTAAATTGTTTAAGAGATTATTAAAATCACAAACGAAAAAAGAGAGAAAAGTAAAAAAAGAATTTATTATTATTTGAAATTACAAGTCGATATCGACTTTATTTTTATGAAGTGTAAAAAAAAAACGATTATACTTTTAAATCATACAGTATATTACAAAGGACCTTCTCTTTTAACATTTTTATAATTGAATATATCGAAACGTTATTAAATATATATATATATATCATTCACTTCATAAATGATTCAAGTGACAAAAAAAAAAATAGTCACAAGTAATTTTCTAGTAAAAAATACAAATAAAAATGGATCATAAGGACTAAGAAACAAAAATGGTCGAATAAATTAAAGAAACATTATTAATTGACATTCTTTTTAATGTATTAAAATACATTAAAAAAACCTAATATTAGCCTAACATTATACACTAATGTACATTAATGAATATTAACACAAACAATAAAATATAAATAGCAATTGAAGAAAAAAACGAGTAAAGATAATATATTTCTAAACCGTTATTGCGGTAGTATTTATGATCTAAATTTACAAGGCGATGTTAAATACTATGAAGTAAACCTTTCAAGAAAAGAAAATTTAATGTTTGGCGGTGCAATGGGTGGTGGTTTTGGGAGGGGGAGTTGTAGTAGTGCAACGATAGACGGATGAGGTGGTTGTGGTGTGATGAACGTGAATGTGAACGTGATCATGACCTGGATGGTGTTTGTGATGATGGAGATAATATTTTTTATCTTCATCATCCTCAAGTTCCTCATGTTTCTTAGTACAAGTAGTTTTCTTTGCAGCATCATTATCAACATCAGCAGGAGCTTTCTTGTATACAACATATTTGTGGTGGTGTTTACGGTGTTTTCTATAATAGTGCTTCTTTGGTTTTTCATCTTCATCATCTTCCACGGCAGGTTTTGCAGTAGCATATTTCTTTGGAGAATGATGATGATGAGGATGATGGTGGTGATGCACCTCCACATCTAATGGTTTTCCAGCAGGAATAATATGTTTCTTTGGAGGATAATGATGATGAGGATGATGGTGGTGATGCACCTCCACATCTAATGGTTTTCCAGCAGGAATAATATGTTTCTTTGGAG